AGCCTTCTGGAGTGTTGAGATTACAAACATGCACCACCATGCCCAGTTATTAAGGTTGCCTCATCTCTGGGTCATCAAACTTTGTAAATAAAGGTCCAGAGAATTAATAGGCTTATCAGGTTATAATGTCTGTGTTTCACCTCTACTGTCAGTCAAACAATTTATAAATGAGTGGAGAAGGCTGTGTTCCAATTTAGGCTTACTTACAAAACTTGGAGATAGGCAGGTTTTGGCCACAGGCAATAGTTTTCTGGCACCAATGTTTGATCTTTTTCAAATAGGAAACCCACTACTACCCTAGCTGTACAATAATTTGAGCAAAGATGGTCAAGCGGTAATGTCAGTACCATATTCTCCAAATTAATCACCAACATTTCCCTATAAGTTTTATTTATAAGGTGAAAATATATTTTTAAAAATATAAAATATAAAATTATAAATATCACTTGAAACTGGTATTTATCTTTAAAAAGTTAATATGAATGTTAAGTAGCTACAATAATAGGAAATGTACAGTTTGGATAAATTCAATAATCTTTTACTCATTATTCTGATAACAGTGAATAGAAAAGCCCTATCAATTACATGGTTATGATTCATAATGTCTACTCAAATTGCGGAAGTAGACTTTCAGAGTACCTTTAAGTTAGAACATAAATTTGTTCTTTGGCTTACTTACCAAAATCTTTGATTGAAAAATTACAGTTTTTATGTATGCAACCAATGTGGGAAGAAAAAAAAAAAGAAAAATTACAGTTTTGCCAAAATATTTTAATTCAGAAAGTGAAACCAATAACCCCGTGGGCACAATTTATTTAATTTTAAAGTAATGATTTTTATGTTGTATTTGACAGCATGATGAGGTAGTCTTTATATTTTTAAGATATAAAATGACAGCAGCTATTTTAAAACTGTGTAAAATATGTCTTCACATGCTAAACTCAAGGCTACTTCACAGAATATATTTTAGCTTCAGGATTATTTAGGAGAAAATGCTCACACTGCTTACAAAAACAATGGGTGAAAACAGAAAGAAAATTAAATAACAAATGTATGTAAAACCTCTTTACACCAATATCATATTCCATAAAAGAAATTAATAAATTGGACTTCATTCAAATTAAAGACTTTTTTTCTGCAAAACTCCTTGTGAAAAGCCTGGATGGAAAGACAAGCTGTAGACTAAAAGACTATACTTTCAAAGGACATATGAAACAAGGGATGAATATTTAAATATATCAAGAACTCTCCTACGTTGCTTATGGAAATGAAAAATGGTACAGACACTGTGGAAAGTTGGGCAGTTACTTAGAACATGAAATAAGCATGTTTTACTATAAAACTCAGCAATTGTGCTCAGCAATTATCCCAGAGAAATGGAGCTTTAATGCTCATATATAAAAACCTGTACATAATTGTTCACAGAGTTTTATTTACAATAAGGCCAGAACCAAAACAAATGAAACCCTGAAAAAATCAGATGTTTTTTGATAAGTAGTTTGACATAGTACATCCATACCATGGAATACTATTTAGCAATGAAAACAAGCTAACTATTGATAAAGGATAGATTGCTTGCATGAATCTCCAGGAATTATGTCAAGTGAAAAATGCTAAAAGTTACTATGAGTCCATTTATACAGCATTTTTGAAATGACAAGGTAATACATGAAAAATGGAACTGTGGTTACCTGCGGTCAGGAAAGGAATAAGAAGGCTATAAATATAAAAGGTAATGCATGGGATCCTTGTGGTGATTTAACTGTTCATAACTTGCCTGTGATGATACAAATCTAAATGTGCTAAGACTGCATAGAACTACAGCCTGTTAAAACTGGTAAAATCCAGCGGGGCGTGGTGGCTCTCGCCTGTAATCCCTGCACTCGGGAGGCTGAGGTGGGAGGATTGTTGCGAGTTCGAGACCAGCCTGGGCTACAAAGGGAGCTCAAGGCCAGCCAGAACTGCATAGCGAGGTCCTGTCTCAAAAAAGACAAAAAAAAAAAAAAAAAAAAAAAAAAAAAAAAACTGGTAAAATCTGCACAACGAGGAATTCCTTGGTTCTGCTGCTATACTCTTATGTGTGACTGTAGGAACAAATAAAGGATATTATTTCTTACAAATGTTTGACAATCTCAAAATTCATATCCAAACTATCTCAAAATTCAAAGTCAAAGGTAATAAAAAAAACAGTATATAAGATCACCCAATCACAGGAGTAGAAAAACAAACTTATTTTTGCAAAGGACTCAGCAATCCAAGTTCAAAGAAGGGGAAAAAAGCAATGCGGGAGAAAAAAAGTATTACTGGAGAAATCCCACAAGCAACAATTAATACAATCATCTTCTGCTCCCCTATGGAGCTTTCACTTCCTCAAGATTTTATGTCCCTGATTTGACTGCTGTTTTTCATAAAAATAAACTGTATACATCTGTCTCTCTAACAACCCAACCACTATCCCACACTATAGACTCATCAAACAGGGACTTTCTTCTTAACTATCATATCCTGAGGGCCTGGCACAGAATAAATGACAGATGGAGGAACAAGATAGTTGAATGAATACATAGAACAAATGAGATATATGCATATTCTTGTAAAGCTCCCAGTCAATTACAAGACAGTGTGTATATATTCCCTTATAAATTTCTAAAATCCATGAATATTTTAAAATGTTAAATGAAATAAATCAGACACAGGAGCTTAAGTATTCCATGACTTCTCTTACGTGAGAAACCCAAAGTATAAATAAAGAGCAAAATAAAAGACGAGTAATGGGAAATAAGATGTTTTGTAAATGGGAAGAGGATAAAGAGATGGAGAAAAGAGGCAATTGGGAGGGGGGAAGGAATTGTAAGAATTAAGATGTATCATGCGTATGTACCAATTTCTTTTAATGAATGTAATCATGTACTGCAAATATGTACTAATAAAGATTCTTAAATATATAAAATAATAATCATAAAATAAATAAAATCAGCATGGTGTATAAACATTTTATTTGCAACCAGAAGTTAACAATATAGTAATAGCTGGCTTTCAAATAAATTCTTTTTACATCCCTTCCCCCCTCTTCCCTTACTTTTTACTCTTACCTGTAACTCATTAAATTAGTATGAATCAATAACTAAGTATATCCACATTAAAATAATACATGCAGATCTTTGAGAAAAACATTCTAAATAACTGGTATAACAAATTTATGACAGTCTTAATGCAAAATGCATTATATGCATATGTATATTAAATATAATACATATATACACATACATCATATATCTATTTAGTTAAAAAATAGTGAATTCAGGTTGAGAATTTACAGATCATTCTGCCAACCATGATGATACTGAGTTACAGATGTGAAAAACAAAGAAGATAAAGTGACCTTTTTAAAGGGGTATACATCCTGCTAGAGCTGATATGGAAACCTGAGCCTTCAGAGTCCCAATTGTTTTCTCTTCTCATTGAACTGGGCAAGACTCTTCTTGTTTCACCCGTTTCATCCCTACCTGAAATCTCCGACCAAAAATCTGAATCACATGTTTTATAACTAGGCTTTAAAAACCCCTGCAAAATTAAATTTGCCAAAATTTAACTGTCTCATTATACCTTCCATAGATTTTTTTTAGAGGTTAAATTACTTCTGATAGTAGGACAATAAGGAACTTTATTCTAAATCTCCCATTTAAATTACAGAGTGTTAATTCTAACAAGAGTCTTACATCAAAAGATCAGCTGTTTTACAATTTAAGGAAAAGGACTTACACTTATAATCTTGATTGATATGCTCGTTGGAAATACTGTAATAGAATCTATGTATCAATAATATTTAAAGCTCATTTTAGAGGCAAAATTAATTAAAAAAAAAAAAAAAAAAAACTAAAGCGACAAGCAACAATGGGAAACAGGGCTTCCACCAGCTTAAATCTCTATTATGCAGCCACATGGTACCAAACATGAATTTAGAGGTCCAAGAATAAAAACAAAAAAAAAAAAAGAACTTTAGCTACGCTCCAATCCAACATCCTTATTTTCACAGAACAGGAAACTAAGCAAGTGATAATACCAATTACCAATAAAGTAAACTGCTTAATTTCTCAAAAGGGTTCATTTAAATGGTATTTTATCCATATTGTGCATCTCACCGTTCTACAGAGTTAGGACCACGTTTTAAGTTGAAAAAGAGCTAATCTATGAAGTTATTTTTCCAGAGGGTGAAGAAAATCCCTTCGGAGATGCTGAAGTGAAAAGAAATGACGTCTTATTTCAAAAATGTAACCCCTTGATGGGATTAGGCAATGAATCATATTCTCCTAGGTTTTCTTACAGACATCAGCCAAAATTCTTTCGGGTAGTCACAGGAGAGGAAAAGGAAGTGAATAAAGCCAACATGAAATACACTGCACCCACTGAAGGCAGAGATCGAGACAGAAGGAATGGTTTGGGGGAAGCATGCGTCTGCTAGAATCCAGATGTTTTCTAACATAAAGGTATGGATGGTTAGGGTACATTAGAAATCAGAACATTCTTCAAATTGAGAAAGCAGATGCTTCCAGAGACAAATCCTCGTAGTTCCCAACTATAGAGTAACCAGGAGGGGACAAAATGGAGTTGAGGTCTAGGGGCGCCCTAAAGGTCGTTTGGAGGTCTCTTAAACACTCAATGTATTCATCTCAAAAGGGACAAGGAAAAACCTAATACTCGGATCGGTTAAGATGACTTCTGACCTTGAAGGTGTGGTGAGAGGTAGGAAGCGGCAAGCCAGGTTGTCGCGGACCCCAGACTCTATTAAACAGAGAAGATAGTGACTGTAGAAATCGCCTTGGCCTGTGAGCAGCCTGGAGGGTAGACATGCCAGCTCAAGAAGAAAACGACCACACACCAGGAACTGGAATGGCCACCCGGCTTCCTCCAGGATCCGGTGGGCTCACTACCCCAACAGCTTGGGCCCCGAGACCCACAGGCGAGGGATGCTCGCAGCCTCCTCCTCTTGGGTCACTCACCTCACTGAGCTGATCACCGCGTCTCCGCAGCCGGCCAGCGAGACTCACGGAAAGAAGCCGCGTGCCGTTAGCGCTGGGGTGAGGAGGGGAGCGCCGCAGAGGCCAGAAAAAAGCCGCAGCGACGCGCGCGCACGCGAAAGGCCGGCGGGGGCGGGGCGCTGCGCGAGCCCGGAAAAGACGAGCCCGGAGGGGCGGGCGGACCGGGGGCGTACGGTGGTGTGGCTTAGCCCGCCAAATAGCAAGCTGCCTACGGCTCGGCCCACCCACGCGCCCGCCTCCGCTCACCGGGGACGTCAGCCGAAAAGGTGGAGCCAGGCGTGCTCCAGCTGCTTGAGAAGGGTGCTGCGGGGGCGCGGGGGCGGCTAACGGCTTTTAGCGTCTAGTCGCCGCCTCCTGGCTCTCTGTCACCTCCCGCAAGAGTGTTTCCGGAGGGCCTCGCGCGGAATTGTGGAGTGATGGAGAATGGACCACGCGGATGCCAGGTTCCCCAGGACTCCACCCTAGGATGAAAGTTCCCCTGAGGTCATCTTCAAGCTGCCCTTTAACGATACTCATCTTAGGTCTTCATTGTTCTTCCTTTAAAGACAGATTCTTTTTTTTTTTTTCTTTTAATTTTAAAGAGAAAAAGGTGAACAATGAAACCCAGTTTCAAAACGGGTTAGTAGGACAGCTACAATAGTTGATACATAGAGATCTTAACACTTCGGTGAATGCTTTCTGCTCCTAGAAGCTTCAGCTCATGCTTCTCGTTCATTTGTCTTACCTAGCACTGTATTAAGATCCCCTTTCACTCCTGTTCCTGAAATACCGCAAGAATGCAAGGTTTTCACCTTGTGTCTTTCATCTCCATAGTGGTTTAACTGTAATGGCAAATGAGCCCACAACTGATTGGAGAAAAAAGTCAGTACAGCACTGTGACATCTCAGTGGTTCTGATCCTCATTTGTAAACCAATCCTACTAATGCTGTTCCCAAGAGATTCAAGAAATTGCTGAGCCAGATATAGAGGCACAGATCCTCAGGTTCATAAGCGTGATGATTGGGTGTTCATGCTCCATGCATGACATGTGCCTCCTTTGAACCTTGTTATGATCTCGGCACATTACCCATCTGACGTGAAAAAAAAAAAAAACACAAATATAGTGGCACATGCCTGTAATGCCAGCACTGGGCAGACTGAAACAGGAGGTTCGCCATGAGTTCAAGGCCCTCCTGAGTTACACAGTGACACTTTGTCTCAAAAAAACAGGAAAGAAAGAAATTACTGATAAAATTACAGTGAACTATTTCAGGGCTTCAAAGTGGACAAAGTGATTGGAAATGAGCCACCACAAACTGCCAGGACTATATCCGCAAAAGAAACAAATTTTTTCAGTTCCCTGATACAAGGTAGTAGACTAGCTTCCTCCTGATAAGAAGCAAAAGTGCTTTTACCCATTTTCCCATGGAAATAACTGATGCATGCGCAAGCACGCACACACACACTCGTGGGTATATGCCTCACATTGCAGATTTAAAGGCAACAACTCTTGAACTTTAGAGGGTATCAGAATCACCTAAAGTGTTTGTTCAAATGTGAGTACCTAGTTATACTTCCCAGATATTTTGATATGGATCTTGGTGGGATGGACAAATTTGAATGTTTAATAAGCATCTCGGGTGACACCATAGGTGGTTGGTTGACAGTACAGCTTTTGTGTATTACTACTCTGAAACCATGTTACTCATTTAATTTCCAACAGGCTCACCTACTTACATATAATATGCCTATAAATGTTGCTTAAGTAGTCACGTAGTTTCTTTTTTTAAGATTGACCTAGAAAGTTCAGAACTTCAAACAAGTTTAATTATCATCTTTATTTTTATAAGATCTGGTTATAATACCAGAAGTAAGTAATCATTTGTCAGCTACATAACTCATTAGGTAGCTATGGGGTACCAAGAACTGTCATCTACATTAGGGTTAACATAAAAGAAATTGGAGGAATGATCAAACTTATCCTCCACATACTTAGATTCTAGTTGTGGAATTAGAACAGAGGCACAATTCAGAACCAGTATAGCACATAAATTAATGTGTTACACCAAGATGAAAAAACCCTTGTAATTAAACAGTACATTTTCCAGTTTCTTTTATTATTGGTCTCTTGGCCCAGACATTATCAATTATGTAATTCCTCTGAACATTGATTTCCTAGCTTATTGAATTTCCTGCAGCTTTACACAGTATAAAGAAATAAATCACTACAGCCTGAAGCTATGAGTTTTTGTTTGTATATATTTCTATAGTACATGCATAACATGTATATATTCATGTTACATTTTTCTGTTAGGACAACAATGTACTTGTATTTTCAAGATCTTTATCATACATTGGTGCCCATAGTTATGGTTATCTTTATCATTTACTATAGCTCACCTTTTCCTCCACATTTAACCGCACTCTGGATTAAAAGGAAAGAAAAACTACATCTCCCAAAAGGAAATCAAATGTATCCACTCTATTTCTAGCTCACCTTTTTTTTCACTTTTTTAAGCTCAAAGCAAACCTTTGAAACCCTCTGGTAAGTATTTCTCTGGAACAGAACATTTCCCCAAGCAACTGACATTTCAGACAGAACATTTGCACCATTGTTTATGATACAGGAAGATGGGAGATTATTATTCCTATGTCAAAGATGAAGAAAAAGATTCAAGTGAAGTGACTCGTGCAGTCACAAAACTAGTAACAGAGCTAGGAAACTATGCCAGGGTGTTTGCCACTACATTAGGCTCACTCAGTAATGTATGCTAACCCAGGACTACTAATCCAATTAGAAATTTATGTATATTGAAGAATTAGGGAAGTGTGTAGTGCAACTGACATTCACAGTACAACACGAAAAGCCCTGAAAGCATGAAAACAAACAAGGCTTCTCTGTTAGCAGTCACTGAAATTTAGGCCTTGCCCATTTTGCTGTTCTGTAACAAGAAGCTGAAACAGATAGCCAGGCTGCCCTTGGCATTAGTTATTTATGGAAGGATGGAAAACAACTGTTCTTCATTGGCCGCGTAATAAGACTACATTTTAAACTTTCTTCACAAGTTTGTACAATAATAATTTCCCCTTCTGATCCAACTAAAATCAGCATAACTTGATAATATTTATACAAACATTATGTTTTGCCACTTTTCCCCAGAAATAATAACCAAGCCAAATGTTGTCATCAATGGTCTTTCTAAAATAGCTAGTTAAATAAGAAACCTAGGCAAAATATAACACTATGAATGTAAATAATAACCTAAGCCACTCCATTTAAGAGTGATCAAAGGTAGGGCTTAGGGTATGCCTCAGTGGTATAGCAACTGTCTAACATGTGAAAAGTCCTGGCTCCTGATCCCCAGCATGGTTAAACAAAACAAACAAACAAAAACAAACAGAAAAAAAACAAAAAAGAGCAAAGGCATAGTAGCTAAATCTAGACATTATTTTCGTCTTTTTAATTCGTCTTTTCAAATTTCATCTTTTCAAATATCTATTTTTTCATTCCCAGTACAGTTTACCAATTTTTAAAGTTAATTGAAAAGCCAAACCAAAATGGAAAGACAGCAAATTCCCCTGAATAGGAAGATAGAGTATTACAAAGATCAGGTCTTTTTAAATTGATCTATGAAGTGAGTAGAGAGCAGATCAAACTCCCAGCAGGATTTTACTGGAGCTTAATTTTAGCTTCTCTCATGAAACTTATTCATTGTCCTTTTTAAAGCTGACTACTAATCCCCGCAATAAAATCCTCTTCAATTATCCTTGAAAATTGTTTTAGCAAATTTCCCCAAAAAGGAAAAAAAAAATCCTTGTATTTATAAGGCCAGGGGAGGTAAAACGTGCTGGGTTTTTCACAGTATTTGCAAGAAAGTTACCTTTGGTATATTTTCAACCAGTCTAGTGATTCTACCTTAGTAATGTTAGGAAAGAAGATACATCATCAACCTCAGAACCCATCTAAATATCCCTTTTGCTTCACATACAAGGAGATTTCAGTATGTACCAATCTTAAAAGACCAATGAAAGAGCAAACTGTTCATATGTTCCTTATTTAGTCACTGAATCTGGGAGGCCACTGAGACACAGAGTAACAAGAGGGAAACCATGTGGGTTTTGATCTTAGGCCAGTTACTCTAGAGCAACTTATGTAACCTCTTTCTGAGCCTCAACCTCTTCATCTGTAAATTGGGGATAATAATGTACTTAATTTATAAGACTCATCTGGGGGAGGATTAAATGAAATCATGCTCATAAATTGCCTGTTTTATGGCAAGCATATGGAAAATGGTGGCTATTAATTACCAAGATCAACCTCTTCATTTTATGGATTAAAAGAGAAGAAATTGCAACTAGAACAGTCTTTCTCCAGATTCTCCTGCCTATTGTGTGACATTTATCAAAGAAAAGGTCTAAAGTTTTTGAGAAATGGTTTACAGCCATTTCACTTACTATTGTCTGACCTCCATGCTAATTCCAGTTCCCTTCAATCCTCCAAATGTTCCCATTGCCATTGCCTTCTATAAAATAGACAAATGCTGTAACTGTATCTAAATAGTTACTTTGTTTCCACCTTTGGAAATTAATTCTTAAAAATAATTCTTCAAGCCAGGGATTCAGTTCAGTTGGCATAAGCACCTATCTGCCTAGCAAGCGTGAGGGCGGGGGTTCAATCCCTGGTACAAAAAAAAAAAATCATCCTTCAAGCAAGTGCTATAGCTGGGTGTGGTGGCTCACGCCTGTAATCCCAGCCCTCGGGAGGCTGAGGTAGGAAAATTGTTGTGAGTTTGAGACCAGCCTGGGCTACAAAGGGAGCTCTAGGCCAGACTGAACTGCATAAGGAGACCCCGTCTCAAAAAATAAAATTAAAAAAAAACCAAGCAAATGCTATAATAAAACTGTCTGTTTCACTTAGATGTGGTATGGCACCCACTGTAGATGAAATTATTGATATTTAGGTAGAAAATTGGTAGCAATATGTTTGAATAAGGAAAGCTACTTATATTGAGCACTTACTATGTGCCAGCCTCTACACCAAATACATTACATGTGTTAGTTCATTTAATGTGTACATCAACCCTATGAGGTATATATTACTTTTATTTCAGAGGAAAATATGCATTCAGCTAAATAAGTAATGTTTCAC